ATGATTGATGTTTCTCTCTCTCTCTCGTACATGCAACACACAAAATAACAAATAATGCATATTCTCAGGTGAGGGTTTAAATTTAAAAAAAAGAAAGAAACCTGTCACATGCTACAACACGGGTGAATCTAGAAGACATTATGAAATGTTAACTAAGCTAGTCACAAAAAGACAAGTACTATATATTTCCACTTAGATAATTTTTAGTCAAGTTCATAGAACATGAAAGTAAAAATGGTGGTTACCTGGAGCAAGGAATTGTTGTTTATTGGCTATAGAGTTTCAGTTTGCAAGTTAAAAAAGATCTGTTTTACAACAATACTGAACACCACTGAACTGTACACTTAAAAATGGTTAAGATTGCACATTTTACGTATTTTTCCATAATTTAAAAAAATGTTCCTTTTTTTTTTTCTTTATTAAGGTATTACATATGTGTCCTTATCCCCCCATTGTCCCCCAACCTTACCCCCGACTCAAGCCCTCATCCCCCTGGTGTCTGTGTCCACTCATTAGGCTTATATGCATGCATACAAGTCCTTTGGTTCATCTCTCTCCCTTACCCCCACCCATCCCTATCTTCCCTCTGAGGTTTGAGCATCTGATGCTTCTCTGTCTCTGGATCTGTTTTTGTTCATCAATTTATGTTGTTCATTATATTCCATAAATGAGTGAGATCATGTGTTATTTATCTTTCTCTGACTGACTTATTTCACTTCACATAATGCTCTCTAGCTCCATCCATGCTGTTAAAAATGGTAGGATTGCCTTCCTTTTTCACAGCAGTGTAGTGTTCCATTATGTAGATGTCAATTAGGTCAAGTTGTTTGATATTGGACTCATCTTTGTCCTTAACTGATTTTCTACATACCTATTCTATCAATTATTGAGAAGGTTGTTTATTTCCAGTTTTAATTATGGATTTGTCAGTTTCTCCTTTTAGATCTATCGATTTTTGCCTTATGTATTTTGAAGCTCTGTTATTAGGCACATATTGTACATGTTTAAGTCTTCTCAGAAGTTGATCCCTTTGTTATGTAATGTCTCTTTATCTTTGATAATCTTCCTTGTTGTTAAATCCACTTTGTTCAAAATGAATGTAGCTATTCCAGCTTTCTTTTGGATTATGTTTACATGCTACCTATTTCTTTACTAGTCTACTTTTGACCTGCTTAAGTCTTTTTATTTAAAATGTTTCTGTTCTTGAAAACTTACAGGTGGATTGAAAAACTAAGTGAAACTCCTAATATTTTGTTTATATTTTAGTTTATTTTATTTCATGCATATGTAATATACTAGAGGTCTGGTGCACGAAATTCGTGCATGGGGGGAGTGAGGTGTCCCTTAGCCTGGCCTGTACCCTCTCCAGTCTGGGACCCCTCAAGGGATGTCTGACTGCCCTCTCACAATCCAGGACTACTGGCTCCTAACTGCTTCTGCCTGCCAGCCTGATCACCCCCTAACCACTCCCATGCCAGCCTGATTGATGTCTAACTGCTCCCCTGCCAGCCTGTTTGCCCCAACTTCCCTCCTCTGCCAGCCTGATCACCCCTAACTGCTCTCTCCTGCAGGGTTGATCACCCCCAACTGCAATCCCTTGCAGACCTGGTGTTTTCCCAACTGCCCCCCCTTGCTTGCCTGATCACCCCCAACTGCCCTCCCTTGCAGGCCTGGTCCCTCCCCTGCTGGTCATCTTGTGGTGGCCATCTTGTATCCACATGGGGTCAGGATCTTTGACCACATGAGGGCAGCTATCTTGATCTTGTGTGTTGGAGTGATGGTCAATCTGCATATTACTCTTTTATTAGATAGGATAATTTACACTACAGTAAACATTTTATAGTAATTTGTTTATACTCTTGAAATTATATTTTCAGGGGACCCTTTAACATTTTCTAGTTACACTTTAAAACAGATTTTTATACACTAAACTTAATTATGTACAAGTTCTATCTTTTCTTATGTAAATTGGTATTCCAAATAAAATTCTAACAAAAGCTGTGATTTTTTTTAAAAAAATTGTATACAGGTGTCCAAAAAAATGTGTATACACTTTAACAGCTCATAGCACAATTTTGAAAATGAAATGTATTTTAATAAACACTGCCTTTATAAATTATTCAAAGTGTATGATTTATTTCAGAGAGGAAAAGAGAGGGAGATAGAAACATAAATGATAAGAGTCATTGATTAGCTGCCTAATGTACGCCTTCCACTGGGGATTGAGCCCACAAACCTGCCATGTATTGTGGGCTCAATCCCCAGTGGGATTGAGCATCAACCTCTTGGTTCATAGGTCAATGCTCAACCACTGAGCCACAGTTGTGACATTCCTAGAAGTGAATTTTAAAAGGAAACTTTTTTTAAAACTTCACTATTAAAATCAGTTATTTGGCTGTTATCAAAGCTTTTCATTCTTTTCTAACTCTACGAGTTAGAAATAAACTTGTAAAGTTTATCAGTATTATAAGAATTAAAAAGGCATTGCATCTAAAGAATCTTAATAAAATACAGAGAAGAAAAGAATTACTTTAATAAAAAGTACTTTCAAAGACACATATTAATGGACTAGCAGAGTAACCTTAAAATAATCTTTTAACTTCATCCTATAGTTAAGTCATTATTTGATTGTTAGAATGTTCACTTTATGAAATGCCAAGTGGACAGCTTTACCATGACATTCGATATTTAAATGATTTATACAGAAAGAAAAAAATGTACCCAAATGGATGAAATTCCCACAAGATTTTTGTAATAAAATTTCCCTTTAATCTATACTAATAAAAGGGTAATATGCTCATAAGACTTGGAGACCTTCCAGACAAAGCCATGGTGGCAGGGCTGAGGCAGAGATGGTTAGGGGCGATCCAGCCATGCGGGGAGGGCAGTTGGGGGTGACCAGGCTGGCGGTGGGGGAGAATAGGGGGTGAGTAGGCCGTGGTGGGGGGGGGAGCAGTTGGGGGCAAGCAGGCCAGCAGGGGTCAGTTGCGGGTGAGCAGGCCAGCAGGGGTGGAAGTGGAGGTGAGCAGGTTTGTAGGGCTGGGCAGTTGGGGGTGAGCAGGCCGGCAGGCAGAGTGGTTAGGGATGATCAGGCAGGCAGGCAGGAGAGCGGTTAGGAGCCAGTGGTCCCGGATTGAGAGAGGGATGTCCAACTGTCAAACATCCCCCAAGGGGTCTCAGATTGCAGAGGGTGCAGGCCCCGCTGAGGGACACCCCTCCCCTCGTGCATTAATTTCATGCACTAGGCCAATAGTTCTATAATAAGAGACATGGCTTTTCTAATTAAAGTTAATAGTTCTGACATATGTACATTGTACATTTAGAAAAGCTATATATAGTCACAGAAATAGTGGGTGTATGCTACGTCAGAAAGACAAACACTTTACAAAGCATGGATTTATTTACCTATGAAGTTAGAGTCAGTTTTCTTAAACACACATAACTTTTTTAAGTTGAAGTATCTCCTTTGTTTATTTGACTCACTTTTACAGAGCAGCCATTGAAGTTTGGGCTGGTGAAAGCTGCATGGTTCACCAATTATGATATAACCCCTAAACTCAAGTCTAATTCACTACATGCTCTATTGTATGTTATTGTAAAATTCAGTGATTGATTTACATTGTCATGAGATGATTCACTGTCTTATAATTTCCTTTGTCGGGGCACACTGAGTTACTCTAAAGCAAGAAATTGTGTAATTGGATACTTTTAATCAGAACTTGAGCTTCAAAATGATCATGTTATGCTAAGGGACTTATCTCTAGGTGTGCCCTTGGGACATTTGCTGTTTCTGTGTAAGATTTCACAAGGCTTTTTTATTATCCTCATTTTAGTAAAATCCAAATGGTCATTAGCTTTATTTTGCATAGTTCCTTTGAGGATTTTAACATAAACAAATTTAATATATCATAAATTTTTTGTGATATCAAGGAACCATCGCTATTTGTTTTTGAGGTAAACCTAAAGAAGAAACAACTAAGGCAAGGGAGAATTAGAACCAATATAATAATTCATTTATTAAATGTTTGGCTCAGAGGATACAGCATTGGCCTGCCGACTAAAGGGTCCCAGGTTCACTTCAGTTAAGGGCATATACCTTGGTTGTGGGTACATCCCCTGTAAGGGTATGCAGGAGGCAGCTGATCGATGTTTCTAACTCTATTCCTCTCCCTTCTTCTCTGTAAAAAAAATCAATAATATATAAATATATATATATATTTTTTTTAAATAATTAATTGTTGCAACCTTAACACTGAATAAGTTCTATTTATTTTCTGTTGTTTTTTTTTAAAGTAATATATGATTAAGTTTTTAAAATAAGCTATTTAAAATAAGCAGTACATAAAAACAATAGGTATATTAAGATATAATGCACATAATATACAATTCACTCGTTTAAGGTATGCAATTCAGTGGTTTTAGTATATTTAGACATTTGTGCAATCATCATCACAGGCAGTATTATAATATTTTCATCCACCCAAAGAGCCCCAATAACCATTAGCAGTGATTCCTCATTTTCCTTCAACTCCAGTTTCAGCTTTAGGCAACCACTAGCTTTTCTCTGTCTGTCTGAGGATTTGCATATTCTGAACATTTCATATACATGGAATTATACAACATGTGCTAATTTTTTTCACTTATGACAGTGTTTTTAAGATATTGGTGCTTTATTTCTTTTTGTTCAATATATTTCATTGTATGGATATATATCACATTTTATTTTCCATTCATTAGTTTATGAGCATTTCTGACATTTCCACTTTGTGGCTGTTAGAAATAATGTTATGAATGTTTATAAATGTTATATTAGATCTTTCAAATAACAGTGTTCCTCTCAAATATACTTTTCATTACTTGAGAATTATCTGGTAGTTATCTAGAATATGAAGTCAACTCTGCTTTTAGTTGTAAGGAATAGAAATTGATGGTGGCTAACTGTTGTTAGTGTGAGGTAAACTGCTGTATTCATTATATTGGAATTATTTTTTGTAAAATAGATATTTGGTGTTGGAAAAACTGAAGAGAGAAGATGCTGACCGAATTCATATATTCAGTTCTTTTTTCTACAAACGCCTTAATCAGAGAGAGAGGAGAAATCCCAATGAAACAACTCATCTATCGTAAGTCAAGCTCTTTGAAAATATTGAACAGATGTAATAAGTTCTGAAATTTAACTTAGTGAAAACTCACTTATTTGTTCCCTGGCCAGTGTGGCATACCTGGTTGAGTTCTCCCATGCACCAAAAGGGTCCCATGAACCAAAAAATCACCAGTTTGATTCCCAGTCAGGGCACATGCCTGGGTTGCTGGCTCAATCCTCCGTAGGAGGCAGCTAATCAATATTTCTGTCTCTCCCCCTCTCCCTCTAACATCAATAAAAACTTTTTTTTTTTAAATCACTTATTTGTATTGAGGCAACATAATTTGTTATTAACAAAATCATAATATTGGATTGTATCCAGTATAAAATGTGGATCAATATCCACAATATTCTAAAGCCTTAAGAATATGTAGAATTCATAAAGGTGTTAGGTGTAATATTTAGTATTTTCCCAATATGCCTGATGGTTTTTTAAAAATTGCTTGGATACTTATCAAATACTAGAGGGATGGTGCATGAAAATTCATGCACTGGAGAGGGGGTCCCTCAGTGTAGCCTGCCCCCTCTCACAGTCTGGGAGCCCTCAGGGGCGGGAGGCAACACCCCCATCACACCTCTGCTGCTACCGCTGCCGGCAGTGCAAGCCTCAACCGGCCCTGGCTACCTGAGCCTTGGGTGACCCTGGACAGCTGGGCAGCCACCATCCAAGGCTTACCTGCACCTCGGGCCTGCCCTGGCAGCTGGGCAGCCAACATCCGAGGCTTGCCTGCACTTTGGGCTGGCTCTGAGAGGCTGGAGGGCTGAGGTGACCGGGGGACTCTAGAGGCAAATGCGGGAAACGGCTAGACCTGCCCTGGTGGGTCTGAGGGGACTGGGCGCTGCCATCTTTGAGGGTGTGGCAATCATTTATCATATTCCCCCTTTTAGATAGGATAGATTGCTTTTACCTTAGATGTTCCACTCTACCTAAGAAAGAAACCTGCGAATTTGTGCTTTTTGTTTTTATCCTCACCTGAGTGTATTTTTTCATTTATTTTAAAGAGAATGGGAGAGAGAAGGAGAGACAGAGAGAAATATTGATGTAAGAGAAACACATCAATTGGGCCGAAACCAGTTTGGCTCAGTGAATAGAGTGTCAGTCTGTGGACTGAAGGGTCCCAGGTTCGATTCCAGTCAAGGGCATATACATTGGTTGTGGGCATCCCCGGTAGGGGGTGTGCAGTAGGCAGCTCGTTGATGTATCTCTCTCATCAATGTTTCTAGCTTTCTATCCTTTTCCCTTCCTCTATTTAAAAAAAATCAATAAAATATACTTTTTTAAAAGGGGGGTGGGGGTGGGAAAGAAACACATCAATTGGTTGCCTCCTACACTCGCCCTAACCAGGGCCCAAGCCGGGGAGGAATCCGCAACCTAGGTACGTGTCCGTGATCAGAATCCAACCTGGTATCCTTCAATCCACCGGCCAACGCTCTATCCTAGCAAAACTGGCTAGGGCAAGTTTGTACTTTCAATAAGCTCTTTGGATATTTCTTTTCAGATAAGTTAAGGAAATACTGTTCTACTTATTAGGCCTGTGTACTTTTGTTTATAATGCTCCATTTAGTGATTGCATCCAGCTCTAATACTTACTTAGTAAATTGATCAAAAGATACACATGAAGAGTTTGTTGTTGTTTTTGTTTTGTTTGTTTTTTTTTAATCCTAAGTTCTGTTAAATGCTTGAATTGAAGGCTGGTGTGGATAATACAAATTTATCCACTAGTTCAATTATTTTTAATTTTCATCTTTGAGTTGATGATAGTGATTGGTTTTGACCAGTGGTCGTAGTGTATTCTTCATCTACGGTAAGATAATGCTCACTTTTCTTGCTCTTTTTTCTGCTGTTCTCATTGGTCATGGTCTGATTTGCTTCTCAATCTGATTACTTATGCCATTAATAAACCAATAATAGCACTGATTTACACTAGTATATAGTAGTAGGAATTAAATATCTCTTTTTTCCAGATTCAGTGATGGGCAGTTTCACACCTTTGTTTCATTTTCTTTCCCCAATTTGTTAAATCATCTTTTACAACTGTTCTGTTAACATCTTAATACTCATAATTTATAAATTTTGCATATAAGCTGAAGCACTAGAACATTTCAGAAACTTGATAGTCTATCTCTTGTCTTACAGAATACAGCAAAGGCGGCATGCGCGAGTAAAAACATGGACCCGACATGTAGATATTTTTGAGAAGGATTTTATTTTTGTACCCCTTAATGAAGCGTGAGTAAAAATTCCCTTTCTGTAAATGTGGCGATTTTTAGAAAATGTGTTTAAGATGTGGAGATTTCATCCTCCTTAAACTACTTGAAATTTCTTCTGTATATCTATACTTATATTTCTTTTTTAATGGTAATTGATGCAGCTTTCCAGTAAATCATATAATATACTGAATTTTACAAATCCTAGATAAGATATTTCTAATTTTTTTTTATTGGTCAATGTAGAATAATGTTAATTTTTAAAATGGTGCTGCTTGTGGTCTAGCAAACATTGTATAGAAAAAGCTACTTTGCCCTAGCCGGTTTGGCTCAGCAGATAGAGTGTTGGTATATGGGCTGAATGATCCCAGATTCGATTCTGGTCAAGACATATGTCTGGGTTGTGGGCTTGATCTCATCCCCAGTGCAGGGCGTACAGAAGGCAGCCGATCAACCATTACTTCTCATCATTAATGTTTCTATCTTCCTCTCTCTGAAATCAATAAAAATATGTTCAAAAAAAGAAAAGAAAAGGCTACTTTATACAGAAAGATGATTAGGTCCATAGAAGAATTTGAACTCTTAGTTTAAAACACATTTAGGCTCTTAACCAAGAAAAAGAAGAAAAGGTGGCTAGCTGGATTTTTATCATTTTCTCAAGTTGAAAGCCATGCTGACTACTCAAAGTAATTTTCTAAGTTAAAAGGGGGTAGTTAAACATTTGTGTTATTTCCCCCCCAAGAGGCATTGATTTATAGGATAGTATTATTAAGGTGACCAGACGTCCCGCTTTTGACGGGACAGTCCCAATTTTTAACCATTTGCCCCGTGTTCCATGGCATTTTTAAAAAGTCCAAAAGATTTAAAAGATTCTTTCCAAAAAATCAGGACTTTTTTAAAACACTGTGGGATGCGGGAGAAATTGTTAAAAATCTGGTCACCTTAATTATTATACAATTTAGACTTAAATTTGTTTGTATTTCTTTTTTTGTTATTGTTTTCATATGCTCTGCAATCAAAGATCCCCAGGAATACACCTGTAGTTGGATAATTTTGGGTTTATTACTTACATCAAAAGAGAATACATACCATAGACAACCATGGAGCCTCTCAGTGAAAGTGTGTTTGAAAGAGTCTATAACAAAATTTGGGCTTTAGTGTAGTGATTTAGGGAAAGATCTAAGGAAGCAGTGGTTTGCTTGGGTAAAGAAGTAGCATTCATTTATAATAGTAAGCAAAAAGGGGGATTTTGATATTTAGAGCGTTGGTTTTATTACCTTGTTTGTCACTGCTTAGACAAATTATGAAATGGCCTTGCTTTGCCTCATTTTACTATGGTTGCAGAATAGCATTGTCTGAGAGATTGTTTATATCTATTTTTACTAAGCTTAACTGTCTCAGACTAACTTCTGAATATTTTTTTTCTCATTATGAAGAACATATTCACTGTACAGTATAATCAAGCTGTATTTATTTAAAACCCTGCTTTAATTGTAACACTTGTGTTCTCTAATCAGTTCAGCCAAAGATAGGTGTAGACTAGGTCAAATATTGGTTATGGCAATAAAGCTCAACTTTAAAATACACACACACACACACACACACACATGAGACCCAATACACAGTATTCGTGGAAGAATAGGCCCCTGGCTTCATTCCTAGCCACCCGGGAGCCAGCAAGTCCCCACTCCTCACCCCAGCCACCTGGGAGCCTGCATGTCCCCGCTCCTGGGCCACCCAGAGCCTGCAAGTCGCTGCTTCTGTCAGAACCGGCAAGTCCCAGCTCCCTGGCTGCCTGGAGCTGGCACGTCCCTGCTCCTGGGCTGCCCAGAGCCAGCGAGTCCTCGCTTCTGTCTGGAGCACCACTCCAGTAGCTCCCTCCGCTGCCCCCTTCCCCTCATAGCAGACTTCACCCCACTTTCACCTGCTTATGCAAATTAACCTCATCTTGTTGGGTTAATTTGCATACTCACTGATTGGCTGTAGGCATAGCAAAGGTACGGTCATTTAGCATTTTTCTCTTTTATTAGTGTGTATATATATATGTGTGTGTGTGTGGGTGTGTGTGTGTGTGTATATATATACACACACATACACACATTTATATAGTCAGTTTAAAATTAATCTTCAGTACATTCTTTTCAAAGTTCCTTGCCATATATTTGTTATATAAAATAATATGTAAGCTGCCTAATAGGTGAAATGGAAAATATACACTGAGTGGCCAGATTATTATGATCTTTGAACACATAGTAATCTGGCCACTCTGTGTCTTTGTATCTCAAATAGATACCAAAAGTATTCTAGACTTTTGCTGGAGATCAACCACCTATTTACCCTGAGCTTTCTATCAGCCAGTACAAAGGGGAAAACTGATCAGGTGCATGATTTATAGTATCTTTGGTATCAAATAAATGAGGTACTCAAGAGAAGTACACTGAGTGGCCAGATTATTATGCTTTCAGAGATCATCATAATCTGGCCACTCAGTGTACATAAAAATTGTCAGAAATGAATTATAAAAATTTTAAATAGAAATATAATTTGAAATACACACAATTTAGCAACAGAGGCACATCCTTCTTAATCACTCTGTTGTGGACAGAAACTATGATCAGTGCTTCCAATAATTTTGGTGAAAAGTAGAGAATGAATAAAGATGTGGAACCAGAAAATGATTCTGCAAGAGTACTATGCCATTTGTGGATGGAAGAATAGCCCTAATTCATGAGGGTGCATTTTGTTTCATTTATTTTTTTAAAACATACATTTTTATTGATTTCAGAGAGGGGAAGAGAGAGAGAGATGATAGAAACATCAGTGATGAGAGAACATCATGGATCAGCTGCCCCTGCACTCCCCCACTGGGGACCGAGCCTGCAACCCAGGCATGTGCCTTGACCGAAATCGAACCTGGGACTCTTCATCCGCAGGCCGATGCTCTGTCCACTGAGCCAAACCAGCTAGGGCTCGTATTATTTTATTTTAATATATTTTTAAAATATATTTTATTTATTTATTTATTTATTTATTTATTTATTTATTTATTTATTTATTTTTTACAGAGAGGAAGGGAGAGGGATAGAGTTAAAAACATCAATGAGAGAGAATCATCGACCAGCTGCCTCTTGCACATCCCCTACTGGGGATGTGCCCGCAGCCAAGGTACGTGCCCTTGACTGGAATTGAACCTGGGACCCTTGAGACTGCAGGCCAACACTCTTATCTACTGAGCCAAACCGGTTTTGGCTCATTTTATTTTTAAGAGGTACACCATAAGTATTTATATTCTCTGATAATATTACATAGACTGCCATATATTTGTCATCTGTTTTATTTTCAATTTTCCTGATGGTGTTAATTTCTTTCCAAGTAAAAGCTATTTGTTAAAAATTGCCACAGTAATTGATAAGGGGCAGAAATTTGATATTTGGATCTATTCTATCTTCAGATACGTCCAATTACCTATTTTAGCCTCTTCTCCCACTGGTGATTTAAGCTCAATGTAGCTGCTATTATTAAAAGGATCATAAAAGCAAAATCCTGGCTCTTAGAGGTTGAAAGTGATCTTAGGTGTTCCCACTTTCTTCTTTCAGCTAGGTGAAGAAAGAATTTTCCTAGCTTTTCATTGAGGCATTAGAAAATTTATAGCTTATATTCACATTGTCATAATTGAGAAGTGTTAAAAACAGTGATAAAGGTAAAACTGGTTTAGCTCAGTGGATAGGGCGTTGGTCTGCGGACTGAAAGGTCCCAGGTTCGATTCCGGTCAAGGGCATGTACATTGGTTGCAAGCACATCCCCAGTAGGGGATGTGCAAAAGGCAGCTGGTAATGTTTCTCCCTTCCTCTCTGTAAAAAAACAATAAAATATATTTTTTTAAAAACAATACTGATAAACTTAGGTTACTACTATAGGTTGAGAGTCATTGTATTACACTATATTTAATCAACTTTAAAACACGTTTTTTCATATTTTAACATTTCTGAAATTCAGATGTGACATATATTATCTGAGTCTTAGAGTTGAAGTGAGAAAGTTGGTATACTGCTGTTTTTACCACCCTAGCCTGACCTAAGTCCACAGCATACTGAGGATTAATAATTAAGGAGGGAAACATTCCTCCACCTGTCCTTTATAATACCGAGGATGAAGCCAACCTCTGATCTTTCTACTTAGACTGCCCAATGAAGAGACAGCACTGTTTTTTAGTATTGCCTAATTTAACATTTTGTAGAAATGAGAATGTAGCATAACTTTTATCCTCATCACTACATTTATTTTTTCAATCAAAAAAGATCTATTGGCTGCAACAGGTTTGTCTCAGTGGATAGAGCGTCGGCCTGCGGACTGAGGGGTCCCGGGTTCAATGGTCAAGGGTTCCAGGTTTGATTCCGGTCAAGGGCATGTGCCTTGGTTGCTGGCACATCCCCAGTGGGGTTGTGCAGGAGGCAGCTGATCGATGTCTCTCTCTCGTTAATGTTTCTGACTCTCTGTCCCTCTTTCTTCCTCTCTGTAAAAAAAAAAAAAAAAAAAAATCAATAATATACATTAAAAAAAAAAACTATTGAACATCTTCCTATATTACAAATATTGTCTTCAGGCTAGTAAGTTCTCTAATATCTATGGCCTGCTCCTTTTAATTTAGCATGTAATACTGCCTAGCATATAGTAAGCCCTTAATAAAATTCTTCATTAGATTAATGATTATTAATCAATATTAGCTGTATAGCTTCTTATTCATGTTTTATATCCTGCTGTTGGGAGCTGTGGTACCTGAATTCAGCTATATCATGAGCACCCACTTGACAACTGGACTCTACTAGTATTTTCAGTTCTTTTATAATCATTACATTAGATAAATTATTTCATTTTAGTGTATTTACATTTCAATATAGCATGAGACAAAGGATTATTTGATACTTTCAATGTTAAGCAATTCCTACCTTGTTAATAAGAGAAACACAGACATGGTTAAAGTTTTTAAAAAGCTATAAATATGTATAATATTTAGAAAGTGTTCAAAATTATACAGTCTGATTAGACTTCTGAAGACATTATAATCTTAAGACTAGATAGGTTTCTATCATTTTACATAAATAAAGCAAAGGGAAAGTGAATGGGAATGATGAATTGACATAGATATTATTTGTATTTTGTTAAATTACCTGAAAAATTTAAAAAAAAAAATTTTATTCCATAAACAAGAAAAGGTTTAAAGGATTTTTCGCAGAAGTGAATATGGGCTACAAAACTTAGGTTGAAAAAATTGGGCATTCTTAATAAATGTCTTCAGAAAAGCTTTAGAGAAGCATTTCAATTGATATTTATTGCCAAATATAACTTTTCTAATAATATATTTAGTAGTTTCATTTGTTTTTTACAGTGCACATTGGTTTTTGGCTGTTGTTTGTTTCCCTGGTTTGGACAAACCAAAGTTTGAACCTAATCCTCATTACCATGAAAATACAGCCATGCAAACGTGTTCAACTGTAGAGGACAATTGTATTCCTACTCCTTCAACCAGTGAAATGGACAGTAGTTCACAAAACTCTTCTGCCAAGCCTATATTTAAGAAGATGCTAAACAAAAAGCATTGCACAGCTGTAAATGATTCAAGTGCTGAACAGGAAGAAAGTGACCCTCATTATCGGAGAAACATAGGCAGTCTGCAAAACATAAATCATACTGCAAGTGAAAATGAAGAATCAAATAATGGAGAATCTGCACGCCAGTCAATTGTTGATAGGATTAATAGTGAGAATGGCCTACAGAATGAATATTTAAGTTCTGTGCACCATACAGGTATGTTTCTAAATGTTTTGAAAGAATTAAGGAATTCAGAGTAAATTGAATTTCTTATAAACAGGATTAAGATTTCAGGGTACACTTTTTATTAAAAGTCAGATTTCCTGAAATATAATTTACCTACAGGAACGTTCGTCCTTTTATAAGGATAGTTCAGTGAGCTTTGATAAATGTTTATAGTCATGTAATCACTACAACAGATCTAGAACCTTTGCATCACTCCAGAAAAATTCCCTTAGACAGTCTTCTTCCCACACCTCTACAAAGAGCGCACGTTTAAAATTATAGTACAAGGTCTACATTTTCTATTGATAAGATCTTGGATTTATTTTCATTTTATAGGAAATTCATTGTATTCAAGATAGTTATTGCATAGTCATACACCTGTAAGGTGAATTAGTTCAGTCTTCTCACTTTACAGATAAAAATTGGAAAGCAAGTGGCCAGAGGTAGAAATTAAAGGTTTTTCTCCAAAATAGTTGCTGGCGTTAAAATTAAAGGTTAATTCCTTATTCTCACTCTCCTTCATTTTTTCACTAAGAAGAAGGGCATTGGTCCAGCCTGTTTTTATTTCCCTTCAATTTTAATAATTTGTTTTTTCTTGAATCTATTCCATATTTCTTGCACTTGTTATGGAAATGTGAAATTTCTGTTCAAATACTTAAATTCCTTGTGAAATCAATTGTATAATTTTCTTTCCAACCCCATGGTAAAAAAAAAAAGTCTACGCTATTAAATCCATAAAGTGCTATAGTGTGTACCTTGTACACTTTAATTAAACTGTGAGTAGATCCTAATATATATTTTTAGAGGAAAAAGGTCAGTATAAAGCATAGAAAAATGTATGTAAATTCAGAAAGAACCTATCAAAAGTTGTGAATGCTGAGCATACTCTTAGTACTTTTACCAGCTTATTTTAGTAAGTCAGAAGAAAGCTATTGCTGAGTCCTTTCTATTTAGTTTGACATACTAAGCTGCATAAAGCTAATAATAGCACTAGAGTTTTTATCTATGTGCCCTTTTGGAGATAAGAGGTAGAAAAGGAGAAAGATATGTGAATTATATCTTCATTGAACTATTTTAAGTTCCCCTTTGATCAGTAATTTCATCCATTTTAATGTGAATTCAAATTAAAAATGAATTAAAGTGCATGATTTAAAAACTAAGCAATGAGACAAAAACCTAGGGCTTCATATACACAAACTCCAGAAATTCCTAGTGACCTTACAGGTGTAAGACTATGCAATGACTATCTTGAATACAGTGAATTTCCTATAAAATGTTCTAGTCTTTAAAGTTGTAGTATCAGTTAAAGTTGAATAAATATTCTCACAAATGCTAATGGAGACCACAGTAGGAATAATCTTGTTTTACGTAATTTACCTTTCAATATTTGTTTATTCAAAGTATTCTTTTTTATTATTGTTTGTGCGTTTGGTATTTGTTTTTGCTTTTTTTTTAGTATGTGTATAATAGCTTTCTTAAAGAAAGTTAATTTATCTTTATTGTGTGTGATACACTGATACTTTCTATTCTCTTGAGATAATCTAATAGTGGTAGTGTCCCACAGTTTGAAAAAAAAAATATGGTGCTCTAAAGTAGGTGTGTATGCAATTTTCAAGAATGAGGTCCCGGCTTTCATCAGATGCTTCAAAGGGATCATTCACTAAGAAGCACATTAAAGAACAGTTTCTCTAGAGGTAACTTTACTACTACCTCAGGGAGGATAGTGAAGCAGTCTATCCTACATAAAATGAAAACTTCACTAAAAATTAGGTTACAGAAAGCTTATAAAAATTTTTCTGACATAATTAATATCTCAGTAATTGATTTCTGTTTGAACTGGGAGTATAGTTGGCAGAACTTAATGAATCATTTTAGACAGTTTTAATATAATTTTAAGTATCAAATATGTACAGTCAGAAGTCTTGTCTATTATTGTCAGATAATATGCTATAGTAAATAAGTGGAATTGTATATTATCACAGGAATTAGGTTCTTTTAAGGTCAACTGTAGGAAAATAATATGTGTATCACTACTTTCATTTGCTGTTTTTTCAGTTGGGCACCACATGAAATATAGTTGTCTTATATGGAACATGAAAAATGTGTATGTTTAATCTCTAAACTCAAACTCAGACTTATCTTCAAATGATCTTACTATGAGAAGCTCTCAGGAACTGGGACTGATTGAGAGAACAGCTGATGGGAGTTACCACCTCGCAGTTTATATCAGAGCATTTGTTTATTGAATGAAATGGTTGAAGGAATTGATTACACTAGTTAAATTATTGTTCCATTTGAAATGCATATACAGTTTAATTTGTATAAACTTCATGTGACAGTTTTGTAGATAGAAATAGTTTGCCTCTAGAATAACTTGATTGTAATTTACTAATTCTAAATTGTTTAAGGATTTGAACTAGTTTTGGCTTTAAACATAAAATACAGATGTATGAAAAAGATGAGTTAAAAAAGTTATTCTTTGCATAACTAAAGGATTTATCTTCATACTTTATTAGTTATTTTAAGTAGTGTTTTAGATTTTTATACATGTCTTTAGGAGCACATTTTGAGTCATTTATTTTTGTACTACCAGCATCTACATTAGGATTGTGTTTTATTTTATTGAAAGTCTATGAATATAAACCAGACATGAAGCATATACAAAGTTGGGGGACTCATCCGTAACTATCCTAACATGAAGATTACTTTCATTTTTGTCTTTTTCTTTTATTATTTGTCCAAAAAAAGCCTATCTTAATTTTAATCATGTTTATTTTTTTATCCTGTATTGTACAGTTTTTCATATTTTCAATTTTAGTTTTTAAAATGTACAGTATTTCATTTTATGTTCTACCATTTAATAACTGTCTTATTAGACATTTCATTTATTTTCTGACTTTTGTAGCTTTTGTAATTAAATATATCTGACATACCTAGCACTAAAATATTTATTTATATACATCAGTATGTATATACATTCATATTTGTATTTAAATATACACTTATATTTAATCATATAATTGATACATAGTTTTTTAAGTTTTAATGAATTTTAAGGTCTGAAACTGCTGTAATTGACATGTCAATTCAGGGTTTAATTAAAAGTAATTTTATGTTTGGATACTACCTACATGCTAAGGCAAATTTTGTCTCCTTAATTACTATATCCTTTATTGATTATCTGCCTAATATCTTGTAGCCTATATGCTATACTATAAGTGATATGCATGGACTTTTTTATTACATAATGTTTCTTATTAATACAGATGGTTTAAGCAAAATCAGACTGAACTATAGTGATGAATCAGCTGAAGCTGGTAGACTGCTTGAAGATGAACTCATTGACTTTTCAGAAGATCAGGATAACCAGGTGAAGCTTGCTTGACAAAAAATCCTGATGTTTTACCTAATTGTTTTTCTTTGGAGTCTTATGGGTAGTTTCTTCCATGTATCTGGACTTGATTCTCATTTTAAAACACAAATTAAGTTTTCTGTTCAGAGGTTACTAGGATAAATGTGCTAGTGCTATTTTCTTTTAGTTTTAATTCACTTCCCTCCCCCTACCAACCCCCATTGTGGATGAACCTAATAATGCCCACCATTTTAATAGAAAATAAATTATTTCAAATCAACACAGCCACCAGTCCTACCTCCCTTTCTCTTCCTCTTTTAAATTGTTTATGGGCCATATCTAACCGTTGGTCTAACTTGACATTCAAAAGACAAATGTTTAACATTTTGATTATATTAAACAAACTTTATTATATTATTACTTCCTCCACATTTTCAGTGATTTTTTTTGGTGGGGCCTAATTTAATATATATGACAGGAGCAAATAATATTTAGTTAAAACTAATAGGTCTATTCTAATATTTAATGTCTTACTTGCTCCCATAAACTTTACTAAAACCAAGAATAAAGTATACTTTTTAAAATATTTTATAATTTCAGTGAAAAATGGCTTTATATCTAGAGAAAAGTTTATAAAAATCCTATAGCATACTATTTCTTTAATTCTTTAACTTTTTTTAGTTGAGACAAATTGAATTTATCCAATAGTGAAGATAGCTTTGTATTGCACAATTTTTCTTTCTTGCTTACTCCTCTTGTGAACAAAGCCATTTTTTGTGATGTTTATAATATGTGGCTATAAAACAATTTTTCTCTCAAACGTATACAGACATATATTTGGATTACATATTAGGCTTATAATAAGCACTCATGCTTCTGTGGTCATAGCAGTTATTTTATTTGTAAGGTTGCCAAAAGCTTTCTCCTACAATAAAAATAAGCTTTGTTTTAAATGCAAGATAACTTATAAAATAAAACACTGTGTCATTAAGCTGTCTTCTCTCAAGTGAAATGGATATACGGTTTTGTTAAGGAAAACAGTGTTTCCAAAAACCCTTGAAATATTTAAAAGTTACTCATGTCCTATTATGAAACAATTATCTTAATCAACTAACTTAACTTTTGTAGAATACCTAAATCGGAGCAATGGCATTTGACCAGAGAAGAATCAGTCATAATATATTCAGTCTTTAAAACTGTATACTAGATTGAGTAAATGATGTAACAGTTTTTCGGATTCCTTTGATTTGTAGCTTCTTTGCATTAAAATGTCAGTTTTGTGATACTAGATAATTGGAATCAAGTGACATATCAGTTTTTTGTGTTTGATCACCTAACTCGAATTTTTTTTGACATACTAAGAATAGGCTCTCTCTTATAGGATGACAGTAGTGATGATGGATTCCTCACCGATGACAATTGCAATTCAGAAATAGGACAGTGGCATTTAAAGCCTACTATCTGTAAACAGTAAGCATTAACTACATATCTTGCACATTTACATAATTTTTACTTATGTACCTTCATAGAAGAGCACATGACTAGGTAGTAAAAATTTTTTTTTTTTTTTTTTTCCTTCAGAAAGGAGGGGGAATGGAGAGAGAGAGGGAAGCATCAATGATGAGAGAGACTCACTGATCGGCTGCTTCCTGCACACCCCACACAGGATCGAGCCTGCAATCCTGGCATGTGCCCTGACCCAGAATCAAACCGTGACCTGGTTCATAGGCCAATGCTCAACCACTGAGCCATACCAGCCAGGCTAGACGGTTTTATTTAAACAAGTACTAAGCAAAAGTCACAATGGCTGTCAAGTTCATTGAGGAAAACTGGGTCATGTGTAATGTCCAAGGATCAAATGGAGAGAAAGAATAATTATTTTAGTCCTCTACTTTTTATATGTGCATGTGTGCACACAAAGACATTTCCACCCAAAAGAGAGTGAGTTCGTTTTGATTTTCAGAAGTAATCCAAGGTATATTTTGAGATCTCTCTAGGGGCTCCAAACTTCTTAGGTGATGAAGTATTGTCTATTTGTAGACCTCATCTTTTTTAGCTTCTTTTTATTTTTATTTTCCTTTGTAGAAAATGTTGGCTAAAACTGCATTAACAGCTATTGAAAAGCAAACTTTTTTTATAAATAAAAATATAGAGACCTTGAACAGTTAAGAGATCTCCAAAATCAATAAAATTTTAGCCAGGATCTTTAAACATTCTAGAACATTTTGCACTATATTAGACTTCCTTACCTTTACTTGGGTTTATAACAAAATTTTGAAGATTGGGTCTTAACTTCTAGTGTTTAAAGTGGAATCTCTGGATTCTAAATTCTTCTATGTGACAATTACCTATTTCATTATCTGTAATAGGTTTTAGTTAAAAATGGGATTATTTTTTATTTTTACATGGATGCTGCTTTTTTTTTTTATTTTTTTATTTTTTTTTTTTTAAATATATTTTATTGATTTTTTTTTACAGAGAGGAAGGGAGAGAGATAGAGAGCTAGAAACGTCGATGAGAGAGAAACATCGACCAGCTGCCTCTTGCACACCCCCCACCTGGGATGTGCCCGCAAGCAACGTACATGCCCTTGACCGGAATCGAACCCGGGACCTTTCAGTCCGCAGACCGACGCTCTACCGCTGAGCCAAACCGGTTTCGGCTGGATGCTGCTTTTGGTATTCAAAATGGGGTATTCAAATTTTCAGAATGGTTTTAACTTCCTATTAAATTTTGAAGTATTTTTAGAAACCTACTATGGAACTTTATTGAAATATATTGACAACTAAAATATGGTTAAATTACTACTTTGGTATTTGGTATTTAAGTATTATTAGGTTATGTATGACTATAAGGTTTAGTCTCACCATCCTCCCTAACTTTTACTTAGGCATGCAAAGGGAATATTGAAGGTCTTAAATTTTTATTGCTAATGCACTTCTTTTTATGCCTTTTTAACATTATAAAGTGTTAACATTTGGTCCTTCCTACCATGCAGACCTTGTATCCTACTGATGGACTCACTCAGAGGCCCTTCTCGATCAAATGTTGTAAAAATTCTAAGAGAGTAAGTTCAGAACTGCACTTTGTATTCTGTTGGAAATAAAAGACTATCTTATCTAATAAAGAGGGGACATGCAAATTGACCATCATGCCGTATTGGTCAAGATGGCCGTGCCTACAGCTGAGGCCAAGTTCCCGTCATGTGTCTTAATGAGCAATTACAGGGACCTGAGGCTGCCACCCCTCTCCCCTTCCCCCCCCAACCCGACTGGGCTTGACAGGAACCTCAAGGTGTGCGCCCAGGCCAAGGAACTCAGGCCATGCACCCTGGGTCAGGGGACTTGAGACTGCGCCCCCACCTGGTGGGGCTTGATAGGGGACCTCAAGGCGCACCCCGTGGCCTGGGCTGGGGACCTCAGACTGCACTCCCCACCCTGGCACTGGGCCAGGTGAGGCCATGCCCCCCAACTGGCAGGGCTTGAGGGGAATGGGGCTGGCGAGGGGTGGGGCTGGCCGGGTCTAGGTCTCGTGTGATTTCAAGGCACACGTGGGTGGGCGGGGACTTTGACACTTCTATTATAGAGAAAGGGCAGATAGCAATATTAAAACATTTCCCCTAATTCTTTTTTAATGTGCATGAATTTCTTGCATCGAGTCACTAGTATATGTATTTTTATATATGTATATTCTTACTACATATTCATTATTACAGGTATTTGGAAGTGGAATGGGAAGTTAAAAAAGGAACCAAAAGAAGTTTTTCCAAAGATGTCATGAAAGGCTCTAATCCAAAAGTACCCCAACAAAATAACTTCAGTGATTGTGGTGTATACGTGTTGCAGTATGTAGAGAGCTTTTTTGAGGTGGGTTTCAAAATGCTGGTTATGAGATAATACATAATAAAATACTGTTTTGGGTCTTACATTATTATAAAATAACTAAGTAAAATATTTTGAAGAGTTTAAAAAACTATCACTTCAAAAATTATTCCAAAGAACAAAAAACTTCCAAATTGGAGAATTTTTAAGACATGTTATATATTTCATCACATCCAAGCCTTGTGACCTCATTCCTCCTCACTAATCAACTCCCCTTTACCCCTGGCTCTTTCTACCTTAAGAAATCTCTCCCATGATGCGAATTGCCCTTTTCACTCTCTTTTTGCCTCTTAACAGATATATTTCTGGAGATGTGTTTATATTCACTGTCTTCATTTCCACAAATTCTACTTCTCAAATCTCTGTAGTCTGGCTTCATCCTCATTCTATATATATATTTATTTTTGTTTTGTTTTGTTAAATATATCTTAGTGATTTTTTATCGGGGCCGACACTATCCACTGATTTGAGTCAAACCAGTTAGGGCCTCATTCTTTTTTTTTTTTTCTTTTTTTTTTTTTTTTTTTTTTTTTTTTTTTTTTTTTTTTTTTTAATATGTTTTATTGATTTTTGTACAGAGAGGAAGGGGGAGAGAGAGAGAGTTAGAAACATCGATGAGAGAGAGTCATCGATCAGCTGCCTCTTGCACACCCCCCACTGGGGATATGCCCGCAACCAAGGCACATGCCCTTGACCAGAATCGAACCCGGGACCCTTCAGTCCCCAAGCCGACGCTCTGTCCATTGAGCCAAACCGATCTTGGCAGGGCCTCATTCTTTATATTGAAATTGTTCATGACCTCTAAGCACTGTTTGACACTGACTAGTACTCATGACACTCTTCCTTTGACTTAGGAGATGCAATACCACTCTTGCATATTTCTCTTGGGAATTCTTTACAGATATATTGACTCCTTCCTTTTTTTAATTCACTATTCAGTGTACCATTAATGTTATCACTTCATGTTAAATATATTCAATTCTTTATTTTTTTATTTTTTATTTATTTTTTATTATTATATTTTATTGATATTTTTTTTTACAGAGAGGAAGGGAGAGAGATAGAGAGCTAGAAACATCAACCAGCTGCCTCTTGCACACCCCCTACCGGGGATGTGCCTGCAACCAATGTACATGCCCTTGACCGGAATCGAACCTGGGACCTTCCAGTCCGCAGACCGACGCTCTACCACTGAGCCAAACCGGCTTTGGCTTCAATTCTTTATTTCTGATGCCACTTTTGAAGTTCAGTATACTAGCATCACTATTCTAAACTACTACCACTTACCTTTTGTTTTTACAGTTGTTTTCCAGAAACCCAAATCTAGTCATCTTACATTAAATCTTATAATGGCTTCCTGTTACTCTTGGATTAAAGAAAATTCATGTGGCTTTCATGATCCAACTCCTGTCCAAGCCCCTAGCCTCATTTCCTACCATTCTCACTCTAGAATTCTGTATAGCAGCCACCTGAATGTCATTCAGTTTCTCATTGTGTCATGTTCTTTCTCATCTCTAGACCTTGATACATAGTTCTTTACCTGGAATATTCTTTCCTATTGCTTCTGTCATTTCTTATTTGGCTAACTCATTTAACTTCTGGTCTTAGCTTAAATATTACTTCTTTTTGGAATTGTGTTTAGCCCTCACATATGTATAGGACTTTCTTATTCTCCCGTCACAATATTTGTCATATTCGTTGTTTTAATTGTTATCTATCTGTCTAGACTGGAGTTGTCAAACCTTTTTATAAAGGGCCAGATATTAAGTAATATTTTAGGCTTTGCAACTGTATGGTGTCTGTTCCTACTCAGTTCTCCTGTTGTGGCAAGAAAGCATATATAGACAACATGTAAATGAGTTAGTGTGACTGTGTTCAACAAAGCTTTATTTACAAAAACAGGCAGTCAGCAGAATTTGGCCCGCTAGCCGCAATCTGCCGACCCCTGACTTTACCGTCTGTGGGCAGAAGCTATCTCCTGTGCCTAGCAGAATGCCTGGCATGTTGATAGATAATGAATGAATACATAATAAATGAGTTGTTGATTTTTAATTTTTAACTTTGGAATGCTTTTGTGTTTTAACTTACTGTTACTTTTTATAATTTTCTAATATTCATCTAACATTTTTATTTTCAGAATCCACTTATCAATTTTGAACTACCTATGAATTTGGCAAACTGGTTCTCTCCCCCAAGAATGAGAACAAAAAGAGAGGAAATTAAAAACATAATTCTAAAGCTGCAGGAAAACCAGAGTAAAGAGAAAAAGAAGTATCAGGACCCGTACTCAACAGACACATCTTTGGATGAAGGGACAGAACAAAGTATCGACAGTATCTCAGATTGACCATTTCTGATTCTTATCAGTGTTGTCCTGAGAAACAGTGACTTTTCATCTTTGGGTACAGACAGTAAAGAACTGAAGTGCTCACTACTCAGAGTGGTTTGAAAATGTTCATGCTTGTATAAATGTTATATAATTAATTTCCAATGGAGTATGTATTAAGTTAGTCTGTAAATATGTTAATGAGGCCAATTTTTCCAGCATTTATAATTATTTTTTTCACTTGTTAGGAAGCATTTGTTATGTATTTTCTGTTAATAGTATTGAAAACTGCAACTTCGAAACACAAAATAAATATTTATAGGAGGACATGATTAATTTGATATTCTTTAGTGAATTTGTATTAAATTCCTCAGTGTGTGATATATTTCATGGGAATATTCAAGTATCTGATAATTTTTGACCTTTTTGCATTTGTTCTAAAATAACTTGAAATGTAAAAGTAAGATGAACTCTAAGGCATTTTGAACAAGAAAGACATCTTTATGTGCTTGTATAGTAAGGGGAAAAAACAATAGCTTTTTAAATTCATATATTCCCTTGTGTCCAGAAAACTCCAAAATGGAATAAATATTTATAATTTTACGTAAATATTTAAGGAGAAGCGGTAATTCAAAGAATAATCTTGAATTATACTAAATAACTGTACTTTATCATATATTATTGCCAACTACATTTCTGAAGATGTCTAAGGCTCAGGTTAAAACTATTTTGATAAGTACAGCTTGAATTTCAAATATCCCATATCTTTCTATATTATAACTTAAAATATTCTACAATCTGAGTGATATAGTTAATTGATAAACATTTTTAAATCTGTGAACACAGCAATTTAAATAGGAATTAACTATTTTTTGTAATGGCTTTTGCTGGGTTTTTTTTTTTCATTGCTCATTTTGTTCTTGTTATTTTGATAAAGTATCAGACTTTGCACATGCGTTTTTTAGTGTAAATTATTTTTACATGTGAAAGTAATATCTTTTGATCAATTGCTTAATGCAGGGGGAAAAATCCCCTGTCTTGAATTCTTTTAAATTCTTAAAATTGATGGTTTTGATGACAGATTGACAACTCATATAGGAATTTTGCATATTATCTGCTGAAACTATTATTTTCGAATGAAGCATTGTACGTTTCTTTTGAATTAACTTTGAGACTCAAAATATATATACATTTTAAAAGTCATTTTTGTTAAAAATGAATTTCAAAATGCACATATGTATATCAAAAATAGTTGAGAATATAAAGGTCTTTTTGTCAGCATTTATTTTATCTTTAGTCTGGCCATTTCTGGTATTTTGACCAACATTTTAGGATATTTTCTTGAATTCAATAAAGTCTGTGGGTGTGTTTGGGGTAGATGGAGGTGTTAACAACAACTGAAAAAAATCTATTGAGACCCACTCATAAAGGGAAACCTTAAAATGTAGGTTTAGAGAAGATCATCAGTGCTTTTAGTTATAGCTTTGTTACTTTGACCTATCACAACATTTTTAAATTTCTGATTACATTTTTTGTGGGGGTATTTGTTTGTTTGTTTGTTTGTTTTTAGAAATGCCCTAGAGCTATTAGCCCAAATATGAAAAATGAGTTTAATATTATTTACTGAATATGTAATACAAAAAGAAATGGAAAGTGTTTAATGCCTGATAGCAGTAAACAAAATTCATATTTTTTTTAATACACTGTATTTTATCAGAATTTGAAGTTACTGAAAAATCTATCCTAAAATGCTCATTTGTTTTAATTTCTGATGGTTACATTTTGCATTCTTAATCTTGTTAAAAGTATAACTTGTCCTTTGTGCCATCACAAGTCAATCACATTTTGACATGAAACATATAGATTGATGCCTGTCAGCTTTCTCTAGAGGTAGAGTATTCAAATACTTGATATTTCTCCCAATCCATGTAAAATTCTATTTTTAAAAGTTATGCTAATGACTTTTGTTTTACATGTACTAGTATATATTGAAATCTTTGGAGACTTCAAGGGTGAGCTCCAAAACTTGAGAATCTTTGGTGTATATGCACATTTACTTGGTGATTTTGTACTGTGGTACTTCTTTCTATATGTAGTTTAAAGTGGCTATTAGCCTTTAAAATGTGTCATTAGTATTTGGAAGTTGTGAAACAGAATTTTAAAGTTTAGAGGTTTGTTACTAGACACTGAAACTGCATGACAAAGTATCTGGTGTCTTAACTAATTAGATCTGTTGTATTTGTTTTCTTGTTGGATAGAATAACAGTTAATCATTTTTAGAAGAGTTTTAGATTACTTGCCATAAAATTTGTATGTGTCTCAGCTTGTGGTAGTTTAGAAGCAAAGTTGGCATTTAACTAGTTCGTTTTCTTTGGTGTTATTGCTAAGACAGCTGAAAACTTAGTGATATTGTCTCAAGTTCACATAAACTTAAATCCGTTAAGCAGAGTAACTTGTGCTTAAACTACTAATCCATTATATGTAGGCAGTTTTATTTGAAAAGGTAAAGTAATTATCTAAATTATATCTTGTTTTAAGTCACCAAAATGAATCCAGTATTCTTTTCTTTGAAAAACAAAGCAAACAAAACACTAAGATTTGTGAAGATTGTAAGATATAACATAAAATAAATAGCTTTAATTTCCAAGACATTGCAAATTGTACTTAAAGTCACAGACAGTTCACTGAACAGGAGTAATAACATATATATATATAAATTTTTTTAATTCCCATTCGAGAACATGCTTAGAAAGAGAAAAAATAATGTGAGAGAGTTAACGTCTTTTGGTTTGCCTTGCCTTTCCTACACTCCTCAATGGGATCAAGCTCGAAGCACAGATATGTGCCCTGACCAGGAATTGAACTGGTAACCTTTCATGCATAGATTGATGACACTCAACCAACTGAGCCACTCTAGCCAGGCAAGGATATATTTCAATATATACATATATATGATCAAGAGTTGGAGTGAAGCTACTGGAATATGATAGAATAACTTAGAAGAAACAGAACCCTTAAAAGATAAGGTAATGTGCTGTATATTTAGAAGTATAGATAATTTGAGAACAAAAAGAGGAGATTATTGTGGAGGCATGCTGCAGACTAGCGAAGTGAATGTAACTATAGTTTACCAGTAAGAACACACAGGTAATAATGGACTGTTTTGGGAAGTGTAATCTAAATGCACTGAAATACTCCAGTAGGACTTTGTTTTTCTAATTGTAGGGAGGGAAAAAGGGATTATGAAAATGCTTCAAAACTTTAACCACAGAGGAAGAATTGGTTGATCAAATCAAAGAAATGTGTACGTTGGGGGAAAGTAGTTCTATCATCTTAATTCTAACAAGCCAGATCAAGGAATAATGATAGAGTACCCTAAACTACCATTAAGGAAGTCAGAGTGCACTGTATTCAGGAAACTACCATAGACCCATGGCCTGAAACGGGCAAAAAAAATTTTGAAAGCTTACAGGTCTTCACTATCTTTATTGCAAATAACATTTAAATTGTCCTTATTACAAATGATTACAGTGGAGGGCATATTATCCAAAGCAATTATTTTCATCTAGAAATAGGCACCAAAATCCTGGGGAGCTCTTCAAAAAACACGTACTTCATATTTTAACCCATGTATTTTCAAATAATTCCTCAAGTAATTCTGGTATGCATCTGTGTCAATCCACTGATTGGAAAGGATCAATATATGTCCCTGACAGTTTTTAAGTTGCTAGTCCCAGAGGTAATAAAGTTTGTATTTTATTTTTTCAAATGCTTTAGATACCACTTTGCTCCCACCCTCCACTCCCAAATTTTCATTTAAGAACTTGAAGTTAAGTTTCTATTACTATGTCTTGAAAAATCATAAAATTATTAAGGTACTCAAAGGTTAGATACTGGCAGATAAGTCATGTTTTTCTAAAGGAATCAAGATTCTGGCCCTAGTTGGTTTGGCTCTGTATAGAGCCTCAGCCTGCAGACTGAAGGATCCCAGGGTCAATTCCAGTCAAGAGCACATGCCCAGGTTGCAGGCTCAATCAAGTGGGGGGCATACAGGAGTGAGCCAATCAGTGATTCTCATCGACGTTTCTGTCCCTCTCCCTCTGAAATAAAAAATATATTTAAACATTTTTTTTAAAAAAATTCTGCAAATTATAAAACAGCAACTCTTGAGAAGACGTGAAAGTGAATTATTAAATGGGTAGTGTGTGAACTCTTAATGGTCACTAGAAGTTTGGGACCCACTACAATAAAGATTGTTTTATATTTTATTAGAACTCTGGACTAGTAAATGTAGAATGCAGCCAGACTAGCAATTCCCAGAGTGTGTTTGATGACTCTGGTTCTGTGGTCAAATACATGTAAACTAAACCAAGTTAAGCAGGTTTCAAAAATATAAATGAATTGTAGGGTTATCTGTCAGGTTTTCCTGTTTATATCTTAACTGATTCCTTACACCTTCCCCAACTTGCCATCACCCTTTAGAATTAAACTGCAGAAAACTTTATACCTGAAAAGTTTTCCTTCCGAAGAAATCTGCAAAACAACACTTTTGCCGAGACTGGTTTGGCTCAGTGGATAGAGCGTCTGCTTGGAGACTGAAGGGTCCCGGGTTCGATTCCGGTCAAGGGCATGTACCTTGGCTGCGGGCATATCCCCAGTGGGGGGTGTGCAGGAGGCAGCTGATCAATGACTCTCTCATCGATGTTTCTAACTCTCTCTCTCCCTTCCTCTCTGTACAAAATCAATAAAATATATTTAAAAAAAAAAACTTTTAACTTTAATACACACACACACACACGTATAATTCTCACTGGAGAATATATATATTTGTGTTGAGTTTTAGAGAGGAAGGGGGAGAGAGGAAAAAACATTGATTGGTTATCATGTTAACCTATACGCACCAGAGATCGAAGCTGAAACCTAGGTATATACCCTTTTGGAAGACCTAACTGAGCCGCCCGGCCAGGACGACTTTCAATCTTTTTAATACCCCGAATAGCTGAAAACAAGTTGTTTAATCCTGTTATGAGACATTAAATTTATCATAATTAGCTACATACGTGTTGATAGAGAATGTGATCCAAAATAAATTAGATGAACTTTGTATTGTTGGAAATTTAAAACAGCCAAAATTATATAATGTTATTGACTAATGTCACCCCAATAAGTTTAGTAAAAGTAAAACAGCCAAACAGAAATCATCCTTTCCCCTCTTGGTGCTTCCTCCTAGTGTAATGGGTTAATCAGCCTCAAAAGTTACTAATTTCAAATAACTGCCTGCAGGAAAAGTACAACATGTATTAAAAATATATATAGCCTCATCTGGAAGTACTGGGGAAGTCTTACGTGAAAATGTGACATTTAAACTATTGGAAGACATTAAACCGTCTGAGAGGGCAAGAGAAGAATTGTGTTTATAGTTTGTGCCAGGGCTTTGAGGTAGGGAGGTGTGTGGCTTTTCCTAAATGATAATGGCTTCACTTATTAAGTATGTACTGTATGCCAAACACTGTTGCAAGCTTTTTAAATGTATGAATTCATGTATTCACCATGACAATAATATGAGGTATATATTGCTGTTATACCGATTTATAGAATGACAAGCCCAACGAAATTGTTTCTCCAAGGCTGGGCATTGGACGCACCATCTTACCTTAGAAACTATGTTAACCTGGCTAGATAAAAGAAGATGGAAATAAGTAAGATGTTCATATTTTTTTTAGAGATGCAGATCTTGTTTACTTTGGAAAATGGTTATATGGATTCTTTGTTATCTTTCAGTCTGTTTAAACATTTTCATAATTTTAAAAATAAAATTAAGGTCTGTGAAACTGGATCTTAGAATAAGGTGAATGGGTAAACTGGGACCTGATCACACAGGGTGTTGAAGCCATGTTCAAGATTTTGGTCTCTATCCTAAAAAATCACTGACACCTTTCAAGCAGAGGAATGGTATGATTGACTGTGAATGCTATAACAATTCTAAGGCCAGTAACGAAAGAATTACAGTGGGCAAAAATGAGTGCAAACCTCTACTACAGTAATCAAATGAGCCATGCATAGTTACTATAGGGTAAAAAGTACAATTATTCCTGTGATTATAGGATGCTGAAAAAAAGACATAATTTGGATATTTCATTTGAGATGTTCCTTTTAAAAACATGCAGCAATAGGAAAGTTCCTTTGCCTCAGAACTTGTTTTATGAATAAATTATTGTCAAAAATACTTAAATGTAAATGAAATATATAGCTGAAAATTGGACAGAAAATGATTAACTGAAGCAATTGATAGATAATTGATTTTAGAAACAAAATTATAAAGAATGTGAAGCTACCAATGGAGAAGCACTACATTTTTTAAAAAACCAGTGTTATGTTTTTAAAAAACATAATAAATAAAGTGTGTAAAATAGCATAAAATACCAACATTTCATCACAGAAAAAGTGTTTTATAAATGTAAAATTAAACCAATTATACCAGGTCATTTGTTGCCTGACATTTCCAAACTTATGTCTTAGAGAAGCTGCCCAAAGCACCTGTAACATAGCTAGCTAGTCCTCTCCCATCCCAGTCTCCTTCATCACAGTTAATTGGACTTGGAATTGACACCTGCTCTCCAGGAACGTTAATTTATAGTGATATGACCTAGGAGATTTATTTTTTAAAAAGAAAAGCCAATCGGATCTGATCATTGGGGAAGTATGAAATATTTGCAAATTGGATGTATTATAGCAGAGAGAGGAGAGGACAGTGTTAAAATGACAGTCTAAGTTATCTTATTTTTAAGATAATCCATATCCATATATACCGTGTTTCCCCGAAAATAAGACATCCTCTGAAAATAAGACCTAGTGCATGGAAAGATAAGACATCCCCTGAAAATAAGACCTAGTGCAACTTTGGGAGAAAAAATAGAAGACACTGTCTTATTTTCGGGGAAACAGGGTATATGGCTTATACATGTGCAAACACACATTTAACCTCTGAAGGCTACATCTTAACCAGCTAAGGAATGTATTTGCATCAGAATCACCTGAAAGACTTGATAAAACATATTACTAGGCCCCATCCCCAGTTTCTGATTCAAGATTATCTTCAGTGGACCCTGTAAATGGGCATTTCCAAACAAGTTCCCAGGCAAGATCACACATTGAGAACCACTGATGTATTTCTTGGCAGCATTTTTAGGTGTGTAAAAACCTTTTGATGCAGGTGAGACAAAGCACCAAGCATCAAAGACCCTTGGATTCCGTGAAGTACTGTATGAAATTATCGCATCTACTCAATAGTAAATGCAATAATTAAACATGTAAATAACTCAAGCATGTAAACACACCACACAGCCTTGCTATTAGTTAAAACTGTTACAGTCTGGATTCTCCTCTGTTTTATAACCTATCTTAACAACTTTGTAGGTATTCTTTCATATTCCCCCCATATTCATATGATCTTTGGAGTAATATATATGCTTAGAGGTGTATTATTTTTCTTATAAAAACTGGGATAATATAAACATTTTCCAGCATCTCTTATCTTTTAGCTGTATCTTGTGAAAATCAAGACATCAGGTATAATAAAAGCCAGTTATATGATGGACTACAATATATTTAGACACACCCTTACCCTGTCCTGATTTGCTTGGTTATTCTATAGTAAAACTGAAGCCCCCGTCCCTCCTGTTGCCCCGTACACAGAGGGCAACCTGTGGTAGGGGCAGGGCCATGAGCAGGTGGGTCCGGCTCCCCTCTCCCCAGCTGTCAGGCTCTGATTGCCCAACCGTCTGATGGCAAACTGGGAGCCCAGTGGGTGGGGGTGGGGGGTGGGAAGATGGCCCTGATCGCAGGCCAGGCCTAGGGACTATACCCTTGCACGATTTTGTACACCGGGCCTCTAGTAAATTTAATAAAAGCACATGACCTGAATGAGAAAACTACACTATTTCATCGCTTAGACCTGCAGGAATAGAAAGACATAATCACATTCTTCTTTATTTTACTGATTTTTTTTTTACAGAGAGGAAGGGAGAGGGATAGAGAGTTGGAAACATCGATGAGAGAGAAACATCAATCAGTTGCCTCCTGCACGCCCCCCACTGGGGATGTGCCCGCAACCAAGGTACATGCCCTTGATCGGAATCAAACCCAGGACCCTTCAGTCCCCAGGCCGACGCTCTATCCACTGAGCCAAACCGGTTTCGGCAATAATCACATTCTTGATGGAAAGAATTGAATACTGTAAAATCCTCAATTCCTTTATAATATGTAACTATAATTGAAATCTATAGTGCTGGTAGCATTATTATTTTAGATGTTAAAAATCTCAAAGTTTATATAAAAGAAAAAACTGCCTGAGAGGAGTCAGGAAAAAAAGAAAGTAATCCAATTGTTAATTGTCACCACCCCTTTACCTGCTCTTCATTTAGGTTGTGAGCTTTAGAACAAATTAATTGCTGCCTGTTATCTGAGCAGTATTTGAAGTACTAATTAGCATGTTATAGTAACAGCTCTTCGTTTGTTTTTTTATTTTTTTTATTTTTATTTTTAATAAGTTTTTATTGTTCATATTATTACAAATGTTCCTTTTTTCCCCCCCCCACCATTGCTCTCCTCCACCAGGTTCCCACCCCACCCTCTGCCCTTTCCCCTCTCCCCATTGTCCTCATCCATAGGTGCACAGTTTATGTTCAGTCTCTTCCCACGCCCCCCTCTCCCCTTTTCCCCAAGAATCGTCAGTTCACTCCCCTTCCATATCTCTGATTCTATTATATTCAACAGTTAATATTGTTCATCAGATTTTTTTTTAATTTCCTTGGTTTTTAGATTCACTTGTTGATAGTTACGTATTTGTTGTTCATAATTTTTATCTTTGTTTACCTTCTCTTCTGAAAGAACCCCCTTCAGCAATTCATATAATTCTGGTTTGGTGGTGGTGAACTCCATTAGCTTTTTTTTATTAGTGAAGCTCTTTATCTGGCCTTCGATTCTGAGTGATAGCTTTGCTGGGTAGATTATTTTTGGCTGTAGGTTCTCGCTATTCATCACCTTGAATATTTCTTGCCATTCCCTTCTGGCCTGCATGGTTTCTGTTGAGAAGTCAGCTGACAATCGTATAGGTGCTCCTTTATAGGTTACTACCTTCTTTGCTCTTGCTTCTTTTAATATTCTCTCTTTGTCTTTTGCTCTTGGAATTTTAATAATGATGTGTCTCGGTGTGGTCCTCTTTGGATTCCTTTTGTTTGGAGTTCTGTGTGCTTCCTGGACTTGTAAGTCTAATTCTTTCACCAGATGGGGGAAGTTTTCTATCACTATTTCTTTCAGTACGTTTTCGATATCTTGCTCTCTCTCATCATCTGGGACCCCCATAATTCTGATGTTGGTTCGCTTGAAGTTGTCCCAGAGGTTTCTTACATTATCTTCAATTTTCTGGATTCTCTTGCCTTCTAGCTTCTGTGGAGGAGTGTCTTCTGGCTCTTTATGTTCCAAATCTTTGACTTGATTCTTGCGATCTTCCCTTCTGTTTTTAGGACTCTGTATAATATTTTTTATTTCAGACAATGTATTCTTTATTTCTTGTTGATCCCTTATCATTTCTTGTTGACTCCTTATTAATTCTAGTTGATCTCTTTTCATATCCTCATAGGCCTTATCCATCTTTTCTAGGAAATTCTTGAAAAACCTTGTAAGCGTAGATTTGAACTCTATATCCAGACGCTTTTTGTCCTCCATTTCTTTCGTTTGTGATCTATTTTGTTGTCGCATTTCGCAGTTACAGATGGGGCGGGGTTTCAGGGTGGAGCCTACAGCCTTGGCTTCTGTCAGCCCCGCCCTATGCGGGTCCTTCAGTGCTCGCTGCTGCCGGCGCCTCTGAGAGAAAGGTGCCCTCGATTTTCGCCTGCTGCCAAACAGTCTATGCTCTCCCCCAATGAGCCCAGCACTGGGGTTCAGTTCAGTTGGAAGTGGAGTTGGAGGTGGCGTTCAGAGCAGTCTGGAGCCCCAGTCTCCTTCCCGTCAGGGCAATCTCGCGGCACAGCCGACCGTCCTTTCTCTGCGCGCAGTGTGCGCGCCGCCGCCGGGACCTCCTTTCACTGCTCCCCGGGGTTCTGCCTTGCAGCCCGGCTCCCTATGGCTGAGCCTGAGTCCCCGGGGTCTGGCTTAAAACTGGGGATCAGAGCAGTCGGGGGCCCAGCACAGTCGGAGTTTTATCTCCTTTCCGCTAGGGAACGCCTGCCAGGCACTCGACCTCCCTCCTCTCCGGCTCCGTCCTTTCCGCGTGCTGCGTCACCGTACCTTGGGCTTTTCCAGCTCCTCCGCGCCTCCTTCTGGTTTTCTCCTTGCTTCTCGCTGTAGAATTTCCAGTCAGTCAACCTTCCTGTAGTTCTGGGCAATGTCCGTTTTATATTTTAGTTGTATTTTATTGAAATTGTTGTGTGCGGCTGCGGCTAGGTGTTCACCTGGGCGCAGCCATCTTGGATCTATCTTCTCTTCGTTTGTTTTTATCCTTAAATCACTAGACGCTTGGCTATAAATAGGATAACCACAAGACTCCTGGGGAGAAATTATTCTCTAGAGTCTAGACATAGCACTGGTCACGATTTCCTCAAGTTGCCAAGTAACCTAAAAGTCCTGGGCATGTCAAGGTTCATGGACTGGAGACTCTTCACCCTTTCTGGGATAGGGAATGGTTGTCAGACCTTTCCTGTCTTTGTCAGGATTTTTGACAATGACATCACTGAAAAATATGTTTTAGGTTTGCCCCTATATAAAAACCAGCGCCCTCCCTCCCCGCCTCCCCCACACACACCCGGCCTCTCCCTTCACATTTCTCTCTCACACACACACAAAACTGAAAGTTTCAGGAATATGCCACACTTATTTGAAAATAATGAATT